AGCAACCAACAGATCCATTGACATCTCCAGGTAAAGACCCATGCCATGATGACCCATGATCCTGAGCCAGTTGGGTCCACAGTACTCCAAGCACGATCAATGATAGACTAGCCAGGCTTCTCACTCAGCTCTTGCTGACCCTGCAAGCCAAAGCCATAATGACTAGGGTGGTCCTAGGTGGACAAGCAGCAGGAAGTTTACCAGACAGTGTTCACAATTCAAAGTTTTAGTTGATTAAATTCCAGCAGTACCATAATGCACACTTGGCTTCATAAGTTTTGTCTTAATGGCTTGGAATGTGTGTTAAAAATGCAACTAACCCATCCTTTTGCCCAGAGGGAATAAAATATAAACATGAGGAGGTGATCTTGAATTTATACAAAATATATTTGGTTAGACCACATGTGTCCAGTTCTAGTCTCTTCATTATAAGAAGGATATTAGCAACGATACAAAAAGTGCAGCATCGATTTACAAGCATGAGACCAGGTTTCACAGGTTACTATTATCAGGATATGTTGGTTGGGTTGGGCCTTATTTCGCTAGAGAAGAGACGTTTAAGGGGAAGACCTATTAGAAGTGTTTCAAATCATAAAAGGGTTTGATAAGGTTAACCTAAATAGGTTGTTTCCACTGGTTAGGGAATCCATAACCGGGGATCTAAATACAATATAGCAACTAGAGGATCTAAAAGAGAACTTATGAGAACCACTTCATGCAGAGGGTAGTGAGGTTGTGGAACTCACTGACTGAATAGGTGGATGAATCAATTAGCAGAGATGTATTCAAGACCTTCATATTAGGGACAGAAGGATGTGGGAAGGAGGAAGGAATGGGTGAACTTGTGGGTAGTATAATCACCAGCATTCACTGGTTGGGCTGAGTGGCCTGTTTCTGTGTTATAAATTCTTTGAAAATAAGAACAACATATGCTTATTCCAGTCAGTGGTGATTGCCTCTTTCATGTCAGTGCTTCATTAGTCTTCTGTCTCGTCTCACTAAATACCCTGAGGTACAGTACATTTGTTGTTTTTCAGTCCTTGAGCCTATCTAGAGCCTGGAACTCACTCAAATAATATTTGTTGGATATAGAGGTGATGTTTTTAGTTTTCTCCCTAGTAAAATAACACCTCACCTTTGCCCCTCACGTCTTTCAAGAATAACCAATACCCTTTTAAGTTATATTTATGTATTTGGTTTCAATTGTAGTCTTTTTTTCTCTTATCCTTATCGTAATAATATAATAATAATAATCCTTGCATTTGATACAGCGCTTTTCACATCTTCTAGACATCTCAAAACACTTCACAGACTACACTGTAAAGCGAATTGACTGTATATTTGTGGACAAAATACAGCAGCCAATTGCGCACACAGCAGTGTCCCACAAACAGTCATGGATTGTGTGACCAAATTATTATTGTTTTTTTTCTTGAGGGATTATTATCAGGCTTGTGGAGTAAGGAAACTTGCCCAAGGTTTTGCCCCACTGGGAAACAAACCCAGGTCTCTTGCTTGCAAGGTGAGAGCTCTAACCACTGAGCTACACAACTCCACTTCTAATAATAATAATAATCATAGTAAATTGGTCATTCAATCCAAGACTTATTGTGGGACATTACTGTGCACAATTGGCAGCTGCGTTTCGTCCACAAATATACAGTCAATTCATTTTACACTTTGAAGCACTTTGAGACGCTTAGAAGACGGGATAAGGTGCTATATCTAATGCAAGGATTATTATTCAGTATTATCCTTCCTATCTAGTTGCCTTTCTGAGATTGTACACCTCTTCATTTAGAGAATTCCCCTCTTTTATAATCATTTTTGTGTTCCCTTTTATTCTCAACAGCAACACTTCCCACAACACAGTTGTTGTTGTTGCTTGATGCTTGGGGATATCACCCATTCCAATCCCTCTTAATTTATCAAGAGTTTATGTGATTTTTGTCTGCTTATATATCTTCTGGAGGATTGTAGGGTTGGTATTCTGAAAGAATGTGATCGAATGGGCTTTGTATGAATCTCTCTGGTGATCTTAATAATTATGGTAATCTTTGCATTTGGTATAATGTCTTTCATGTTGGGAGGACATCTCAAAGTACTTTTTATTGTGTTTTTGCAAGATTTCACTGTGAAGTGCTGTGTATTTGTAGGTAACATTTTGGGGGTGAGGGGAGGGGGTTGAAATCCTCATAGTTGAAGGAAACATTTGTCAGCAGCAAAGTAATTTTTTGCAATATTCACACGTTACAACTAGTGTTTGCATCACTGCCAGAAGCAAAATGGGAGACAGCTGCACTGTACAAGTCTCAGAATGGTTCGGTGCCAACTGATCTCATCTTCCTTCAAACACACCTTTTTGCACACAAATACTGTATACTTTACTGATGCATTTATCATGAGATTCATTGCAAGGCCTGGCCAGTTTAATGCTGACTGACGCAGTGACAAATGGAAAAAATAATCAAGTAATCGCGATCCTTACAACAACAAGATTACAATTTGTATAGTGCCTTTCATGTCGGGAGGACGTCCCAAGGCGCTGGACAGAGTACAGCATTTCAGACCCAAGCTGGGGTCGGGAGGGGAAGGGAGAGGAGGGGAAGGGGGCTAGCTGATGGCATGGTCGGAGAGGAGGGTCTTGAGGTGGAACTTGAAGGAGGCTAAGGAGGGGGTGAGGCGGAGTGATTGGTGGATGGAATTCCAGAGGTTGGGGGCAGAGTGGCTGAAGGCTCTCCTCCCGATGGTGGGGCGGGTGGGTCGGGGTACGTGGAGCAGGGCAGAGCCGGCTGAGGAGGGAGCGGGCGGGTTGGTAGGGGGTTAGGAGATCGCAGAGGTAGGGTGGGGCGAGGCCATGGAGGGCTTTGTATGTGAGGACCAGGATCTTGAACTGGATCCTCTGAAGGATAGGGAGCCAATGGAGTTGGGGGAGATGGGGTCACGGAGTTTGGTGCGGGAGAGGACACAGGCTGCAGAGTTCTGGAGGGAGGAATTGGGAAGGCCAACAAGCAGGGCGTTTGCACAGTCGAGCCTGGAGGACAAACAATGTCCAACTATATTCATTCACCCACAGACACGCAGCTGCTTCACTTTACATTATATCCTGTGAAGCGCTTTGAGGCATCCTGGTGCGAAAGGTGTTATATCAAATGTAACATTTACTGTTATTATTCACAAACAGGCTATGGTCCTGAACTCAGCTTCTTGAAATCACGCTTGGGACTTGCAGACATTTACAGAGATGTTGCACTCTTATGTTGATTATTTTCTATTCAATTGGTAGAACTCTCGCCTCTCGGTGAAAAGTTGTGGTTTCATTTTCTGCATCAGGGACTGGAGCTCATCTTGACTAGCCTGAAACTTCAGCTTTGCCTACAATGCTTTACAGAAAAACTATGTGAAGCACTTTGAGATGTTTCAACATCATAACATGATAAGATGATTTATCAAATGCAAGACTATTATTATTATTATGGATCATTCTCCTTCACTCAAATTTGGGTTCCGTCTTTCAGTCACATAAAACAAATCACCTTTTTTTGGTCTAATAGCAGATCAGTAATAATTTGCAATGGTACTCGATATCCCAATTATTAGTCTCCCATTTCAACATCAAATACTGCAAATTTGGAAATGCTAACACCACATTTACATCCAATATGCATTTTCCTGGATGTATAACAACAATAAAACAGCTTGCATTTATATCACCCTTCACACTGAGTGGTGTCTTGGAGAGTTTTAAGATGATATGATGGCTTTACTATTGATCTAGGCACAACAACTTCAGCTTTGGCACATTATGAGTTGGAAGTTAAACCCACAGATAATCCTGTTGTTGCATTCCACCAAACGGGTGTAACCATTGCTAATTCCAAAACCAAATAATGAACCAGATGAGGCTTGTGTTTTCTTGGCTTGATATCAAAATCTATTGAAAACTTAACACCTAATGGATATCAGAAAGAGAGTAAGGTGAAGATGAGAGGGGAAGGTGTCAATCTGGAGACTTTCAATAATAAATAAATAATCCTTGCATTTGGTATAGTGCCTTATCACAAAGGAACAACAACAACAACTTGCACTTATATAAGTTGCCCTCCATGCAGAGTAGCGTCTCAGAGCTCTTAACAGTGGAGGAGCCTGACTCCGAGCTGGTGGGGAGGATGAAGTGGCTGTAAGCACGGTTGAAGAGGAAGGTTTTCAGGCAAGACTTGAAAAAGAGGAGAGAGGGGGCAAGGTGGAAGGATTGAGGGAGAATGTTCCAGAGTTTCGGGGCATAGTGGCTCTAAGTGTGACCTCCGATGGTGGGACGGAGGGTGCATGTGATGAGCAGGAGCCGGTGCCAGTTGAGCGGAGGCACTGGCGAGGAGTGCATTGGAGTAATCCAAGCGGGAGGTGACAAACAAATGCACGAGGGTTTCATCTGCATTTGGGGTAAGGTACGGTCAGAGGCGGGTAATGTGGCAGAGGTGGAAGAAGGAGATCATGGTCAGGAACTGGATGTGGGGGAGGAAGGACAGCTGGGGGTCAAACCGACACCTAGAATGCGCACTGGTTCAGTGAGTCTGAGGGAGAGGGAGGAGTTTAGATCCGCAGGGGTGAAGGAGTATGGCTTCTGTCTTGTCCACATTCAGCTACAGGAAGCTTGCACTCATCCAGGCCCTGATGTCTGGGGTTGGTACTGGAGGGGGCGAAGTAGATTTGTGTGTCATCTGCATACATGTGGAGGTTTACCCTGTGTCTCCGGATGACATTGCCCAGAGGGAGCATACAGATAAGGAAAAGAAGAGGGCCAAGGATGGAGCCCTGGGCTACCCCTCAGGTGACTGGGCGGGGGTGGGAGGGGGAAACCATTTACCGAGATGAAATGGAGACGGTTGGTTAAGTTGGACTCGAACCATGCGAGTAATGCAATGCAAGAACAGTAATGCAATTTCCCCATAACATCCAATCAGTAATGCAATGCACCCACCAGTCAGCAATGAACCAGGCTGGACCTTTTTATTGATGTTAGCACAGCAATAAGTGATAAGTACAGGTGGAAATGTTGCTCAATAGCAAAAATGCAACATACATTCCCCAAACCAATAAACTTTCAAATCTGCTTTGTTTCCATTTATTTACTTAAAACAATCAAAGTATTCTGCAATATATACAAAATATTTTTTTCAAGATTTTAGCGCAGCAAAAATGTAATTGTAAATTTATACACTAAGAATGGGTTCTTGCAACCAACACAATAAACTTTCCAACCAGTGCTAAGTTTTCAAACATACCATTTAAGGTAGTTAGAAAAGAAACACACAATGGGAAGTGGTAGATCTGAAGAATATTTTGCAATATGTTAACTAACAACAAAATGATAAAAACAACTATTAAATGTTGTTTTATCCATAATTGTATGGTGGGAAGAGGAATTGCTTTCAAATCTTTGCACTATATTTTCTGTTGAATGTTGCCATCAATGCTGCCATCAATCATGATGATTTAAAATGTGTCAGCACAACAAATAGCATAACCCACTCACTTCAATATGTTTTTATCTAACATATATATCTTTAAACTGGCTATCAAGATACTTGTAATAATCATGAAGGAGCATTTCCAAATTCTTTGCAATATATTTGCAAAATATCAGTGATTAATAACCCCAATTAAATATGATTCAGAGTATATCTTAAAAAACTACGGTTAATATTTTTAACATTCTGAAAAATATTTAGAGGGAGATGTTTTGACACTATGTACACAGCAGGAAAAGATTAAATGTTAAGATGCTTTATGTATATGTAAGACAACGTAGGTGTCCAGTCAATTCTATAATCTCAGTTTGGCAGAGTTGGTAGCATTCTTACCTTTGGGTAACAGGATTGCATGTTAGAGCCCTGGGTTTGAACTCAAATCCGAGGGAATACTGAATTAATGGTGGTGCTGTCCTTAAATCTAAATCCTTTTGAGATGGAGGTGAACAATCCCAATGGATGAGTTGGCAAAGGAGCACAGAGTAGTCCTGACCGGTATTCTTCCCTCACTCCAATTTACTCAAACAAATTGGCCGTTAATCACATGTTTATGAGACATCAGATGCCTGATTTGCCTACATAATAGTAATTACTTGTAAAAGCAATGTATTATGTGCCATTCTGTGAGATAGTTTCATGTGATAAGGTGTTCTATCAAATGCAAGCTTTTTTTTAATTTTTATTAAGCATATAACGCAAAATGGTTATCATTTAATCTTCATTGGCACATTTATAATAACTGTGGTAAATTGGAGACATCTTGAAAGTTATAATCCTTAAAGTAATACCATTCAACATTTAAAAGGAAATTAGATAAGTACTGAAGAGCAATAATCTAAATGGGGATAGAAAAAAGCAAGAAATGGGATTAGAGTATTTTGCCCATCTCTTGTTGCCTTCGGTTTCAACCAGTTTAAACCTTGCATAATCTGATCTATATATAATTCATAGAGAGAAACAGCGAGCGAGAGAAAGCAGATGAAGGAAAGTGAGGACAGCTTTTTGTCGTTCTCAAACATGGTGTCTGGCTCTCAGTAGCCAAAAGATTGGACCACCCTGCTTGTACATATTTTCTGCAGATGAGATAGAGTACTCTGTAGTAGTGTATATGGAAAGAATGGGCTACCATTGCTTAATATGCATGTGTTAAACTTGGTACAGAAACCTTGCCTTAACATCACCAGCCAAATCAGTATTGTGTGCTGTATAGGTTACATGTTAGTCATATAAAATCTGACTTATACATAACTTTACATAAATCATATATATGACATATGTAAGTTTGATATAACTCATACTTTGCATAAGTCATTTTAACTGTACAGTCCGAATTGATACGACATACGTGAGGTTTACTGTATTTGCCATAAGTCCCCACAGAGTGATTGAGGCAGGGAGTTGAAGAGTTTGGGGTGTAGTGACTCCAAGTACAGCTGGTGATGATGGAGCAGAGGGGACAGTGGAAGTGTAGAAGGCCACAGCTGGCTGAGAGAATGGTAGACAAGTGGAGTGTGAGCAGTGGCAGTTATCAAATGCTTCCTAATTAGGAAATGAATGCAGCAAATTTCCACCTGGGTCTAGATTTGCTCTATCTATTAATTTAGCATTTCAGAGTGTTCAGAATTTCCATCTCAAACGCAATCTTTAATTTTGAAGACTGTTTTAAAAACTACAATTTCTGTACATGCAAAAAATCACCATTAATAGACTAAATCTAGACTCTACCCAGAAATGTTTAAAAAGGTTTGAATGAAGAAATTACTTCTCAACGTCCCCCTGAATTGTTTGCTAAAAATGATAAGATTGTCAGCAATTCTCAAATTTACATTATATAGTCAGATGACCTGGAATAAATCTCCCTACTAATATAACTGACTGGTGGGTAAAGAATTAAAGAAAGCCACAAATTAAGATCAGTTTCAAGAATGGTATGATATTTTAATTATTTATGTATTCTGTTCATAACATTTGGAACAATTACTTTGAAAAAAAACCTTTATGGTGAATTATTTTACTTGTGAAGTTGATTGTGAAGACAATTATATTTGATCAGACAGATTTTCCTCCTGCAGAAAACCCATCACCATGCTAAATAATTCTCAAAATAGATAATTGAGTGTCCACATTTCTTTGGTTTCTATCTGTCTGGTATGGAGTGCATACTCTCTCATACCCTCCTTACCTAATCCTCAAGAGTTTTGGTATAAAAAGGCAACACCTGATCTTTGCAGGCTCCAGGTACTTGTGGAGATTACCAGCTAATACCATATTGCTTGGAAACAGAGGAAAGCTTCTTGCTGTTTCTCTAGCAACGGTTACGCTACCCGTTAGGGCTTTGACTTTTCAGAGTTAGCAGGAGGTGGCTGGGAAGAATCCAAGCCTTGAGGGTTTGTTCTACTGGAAATCCTCTTAACTAATCAGACTGATTGTCTGTTATCACTCAACGTTAGATTACTACTGATCTACCTAGCTCAAGTAGTAAAAACTCCACAGAAGACTTGCTCCATTCTAATCTTCCAGTGATTGACATGTCACCTTGGAACCAACTCAATTCTAAGGAGATCCTACTTTAAACTAAAAGATTTTTTTTATCCAGCATGGATAAAACAGATTAAAGCTCCCTCTAAACTGACCGTCCCAGCAGTCCTAAACCGGGTCCAATTTATGTAGTGCTGGATTAATTGTCATGTTAACAAATCTAACCAAGAACAGGACAGGATTTGTGCAGATTAAATTCTCTGTACATTTTGAATTGAAAAATATAAATTGTAATAAAATTTCTAGTGCAGAAAATAAACCCAAACCGTACTCAATTACATTTACAAAACTCACGTAAGTCATATCAGTCGGGACCATAACACTTAATATGACTTACAGAGTTAATGAAGTCAGAGTTGCAGGCAAATTGTATAAATCATAGAAGATCCAATTTAATCAATAATCTACTTGCGTAAATTAAGGCAGTCGGTAAGTGCTGCAATAATGGGGGTGGGGGGGCGACATTACGAGTTAGGAGGTGATTAATACGAGTAGTGGTAAAGGCGCTGAATGCAGGTCTTGACGATACCCTAACCCCAAAAAGTACACATCAAGTACTTGATTATATAATCTTAATTAGGACAACAGCTAGGGCTACAATTGGCTTTGGTAACCTTGGGATAGAGAGAGGAAAATTAATTAAGTGTTCTCCGGTTTTAATAACTAATCATTGACCTCCCTAAAAGGCTATAAGGTACACATGTTGATATCGGTTTAGGACAATATTGGGTTTGACTGTGAAGCATCTCATGGTCAAATAACCTGCCAATTCACTGTCAAGGAGCATTTTTGGATACTTATATTTGGTAAGGTGTCAAGGGATTTGGTATGGATTTGGTATATCCCAGTTGAAGAAGAATTAGTCAGAACCTCCAAAAGAACACAGAAAATTGGAAGAGAAAAATTGGCAGGAAAAAGGGACAGGCACAGATGGAGACAATCCAGTATTTCATAGCTCAAAGTGGTTCCTAGGTTTCTGGGGGAGGGTGAAGGCAAAGAATGGACAGATACTGTCTATTGAAGACATTTATACAACAATGACGAGTAGAGCTAAAAGAAAAGATAGACATGATGAAGAATCTTCACTCAGGAAATAGTTGAGATATTGTCCATGTGGGGCAAATGGTTCTTTGTAGGTGATAGGCTCAAGGTCACTTCTTATTCATTATTCATATTGTTGTTATTCTGCACTTTAATTAGGACTTGCTGAACTGCTATAGGCACAGCACTGTAAAGCTATGGGAACAATCACTAGAAGAGAATAAGCAAAGTTGAGCAAACTACTGAAAATTAACCATCAGTTAACGATCGCAATGTCAAAATGGACTAAATGCTGTTCAAAATTCTAGGCAACAACTTCCCACAGATTTTATTAAGAGCCAGTACCTTAACTTGATACAACTCAGTGTTTGAAGACAATGCACTATTGCTAACTGGTTACAGATTGTATAATACTCCACTGGTATTACCAAGGCACTGTTAGATAATATGTATTTCAGTAATTGTAGTCGCCAGAGATCTCATAATCCTCATCTTCATCATCATCTTCTTCATCTTCATTTGTAGCTTTGTTATGAAAACTCATTCTCATTGCAAATGGCGAATCTGTTTTTCAAATAAAATTTGCATTAATCCTGTACTGAAGAACAAACATAAAAAAGGCAGTAAAAGTGATCTTGATCTCCACACCAGTCCTGCACCCATTAATGCATTGCATGACAACTTCCCGTCATTGCAAGGACGGGTTCTGTTGTAGGTTATATTCTAAGTATGATTTGGGGGAATTGAGCTTTAAAAAACAATCTCTGTTGGTCTTTGGCACTTATCACGTCTTCGAGACGTCTCAAAGTGCTTCACAGAATATACTGTAAAGTGAATCGACTATATTTTGTGGGTGAAACGTGGCAGCCAATTACGCACAGCAGTGTCCCACAAACAGTTGTGGATTGAGTGACAATTTTTTTTTGAAGGAATTATTACCCCCAGAAAAGCGATCTGCCAATTGACTAACAACCGGGTTCCTACTAACTGCTGGGTAAACAGAGGCATGTGGAGTAAGAAAACTTTTCGCCCGACCGAGAATCAAACTCTGGTCTCTCGCTTGTGAGATGTGTTCTCTAACTACTGAGCTACAGGACTCCACTTTAATAATAATATTAATAAGAATAATCCTTGCATTATTAGGGGTTAGACTATCGAGGGATTTAAAGGTGAGGACGAGGATCTTTAACTAATCCACTATGGATGGTGAGTAAGGCGAGGATGAGGATGATAGGCTTGTGGAGTGTAATATGGGAAAAGACACATGCTGCAGAACTCTAGATAGTCTGCAACTTTTGTAGACGAGAGTTGGGTAGTCCCTAAGAGCTAGCAGTTCATTGGCATAGTCAAGACTGGATGTGATAAATGCATGAATGTGATGAGGGCTTAAGGGAAGGGATAGTGGTGGAGGAGAGCAATATTGTGGAGGTGAGGGAACACTGAGTGGGTGGCAACATGGATGTGGAGTTTAAAGAAAAGTTGGCAGTCAAACAAGACACTGAGGTTCCACACCAACAGAGTGAGGTAGAGTGTACATCCATGCAGCTTGATGCTGTCAGAGGTTGAGGTGAGAGGTGCTGAAGCAGGAAAGCTTCTGTCTTGTTGAAAGTCAACCGGAGAAACTTAGAGCTCTTCCAGGACTTGATGTCTGACAAGCAATCAGTCAGAACAACAGAGGTCCTGGAATCAAGGGTGGAGGCAGAGAGATACAGATAGAGATGAGTCATTGAAGTCACCCGTTAATGTGGTAAACTCTTACCCAAATCGTAGACACTCAAACTTGCAGAAGCAAATGCTTCTCCATACTGGTTCTTTGTGTAGCAGATATAGGTTCCTTCATCAGATTTCTTCACCCCTTGAATCTGCAGCCAACCTGTGATACCATAACGCTGAGGCCCACCTCTTGCCTGGAAAAGATAATATAATAATGAATGGGACATTGAATCGTACACACTACAAGGGGCCCATTTAGACCATTGAATTTAACAAGGTTCATTGCATCTATTCTGTCCTTAAACTGAGATGTTCTGATGAGAGGTCCCACCTGTCTGTTCAGGTGGATGTTAAAGATTCCATGGCACTATTCAAAAAAAGGGAGTTTCTCCTGGTATCCTGGCCAACAATCTCCCAAATAAAATTGGTCACTCACTGCATGCTTGTGGTTCGTTGCTGTACGTAACTGGCTACTGCGTTTCACCCACAAAATACAGTCAATCCGTTTTACCTTATATCCTGTGAAGTGCTTTGAGATGTTTCAACAACGTGATAAAGTGCTATGATGGGTCAGCCTGACCAATGACACTGCCACATTACATATTAATGGATGTTACTTTCCGTAGTATATTTGAGCTTCCGAATATAGTTACTTTTTGAAGGAGGTTGATATTTTGTTTATCAGGTATTTTGTCAAGCTATTTTTGAATAATATTAACAGTCCCAATGCACTTTTTTGGGGAGTCAGTCAGGTGTCTGACACATGAGGAAACTCATCATCATGCTGAAGAGTACCTAAACCAAACTGAGAATTCCAGGTATCCCACCTATCTAAGCCAGTGACTTCCTCTATAATTCTCAACTTCCCAATACAGTGATGCATGGGAGTTGCCGGTGGCATTAGTTTGTCCTCAACCACAGAGAGTGTCAGACCCATCCTCTCAACTAGTCGTGTCTTAGTTGGTACAGAATCTAGTTAAATTGAATACCAGCCTCCAATTATTTTGTGAAATACAATCCTCCCGTTTTTATATAAAACATCATTTTCAATTTTTTTATAAAATGTTCCATTTCTGTTCTGAGGCAGATTTCTGTGAAAGTTGAGGAGAATCAGGTTATGTGGATAACAATAACAACAACATTTCATTCATAGAGCACCTTTCACGTCGGGAGGATGTCCCAAGGCTTGGGTCGGGACCCGAGCAGGGGGGAAATGGTCAGGGGGAGGGGAGGGAAGGGAGGGAGCGAGGAGGGGGTTGAGAGTCGAGAGGAGAGCTGAAGGCACGGTCGAAGAGAAGCTACATCCTGCTAACATCCAAGACATTACCCAGAATGTAGCATTGGTCTTGCACAAACAGCACAGAATGCAGATTCTGAGCACAAGATAAGCAATAATCCATACTGAGGAAAATTCCTTCAATCAATCTTTATTTTATAAAAAGAAACACCTTCCAAATAATGATGGAATTTAAGAATTTTACACAATTCCGCACAAATTTGAAATTAAGGCCCTCCAGGCTAGGTGGGATCTCAGCCCTCAGGCCTCGGAGTTCTGACCTCGGTGGGGGGGGGGCGGGGGGCCTGTAATTCCCAACTCCCCACAAGACTGAGTTCTAATTGAAAGAGTTGTTTATCAATGACAAATAAACACGTTTTGTTTACAAATGCCTACGTCTCATCTAATCCATTCTGTCATTGCCGGGTCTTTACCTGGATTGATATGTGTGAATCATCTCCAGGGAGCGAGTTATCAATTCCTTTCTTTTTCCATTCCACCAGTGCCACGGGATAGGCAGACACCTCACAGCCAAACACAATGTCATTGCCAGTGAAATTCTGCACATCACGAGGGGGCGAAGAGATCCAGGGAGCTGAGTGAAGATAAGTAAAGTATTGAAGCTAGAACATATGCACATTGTTTCATTTTATATCTCCAGGAAGGTATAACCAGAAATAAAAATTAAGCCTTGCATTTGATTTAATGCCTAAAACGTTAAAATGTCTCAAATAGGTGTTAAGTGTAATTTTTAGACAAAACCGGCAGCCAATTTGGACACAGCAATCTCCCACAAACATGAAGTGAATGACCTTTTTTATTTGACCCTTCTCTCTAAGATTTATCTTTTCTTTTAAACTCGCTTCGCTTTAGTGCTTCCTGTTTCCCCCCCTGCACTCCCCACCCCGACCCTCAGCACGGGTCCATAACTCTGTCCAGCACCTTGGGATGTCCTCCCAACGTGAAAGGCGCTATATAAATGTAATTTTGTTGTTGTTGTTGCTGTGGTATCTAAACTGGGTGAAAAGGCCTCAGTTGAAAGTCTCATTTAGAGTACAGCACCTCCGACAATGCAGGTTTCCCAACACTACATTGGAGTATCATCATAGACTATTAGCTCAAAGTTTTTAATGGGGTGCTCAGACAGTTCTGCACTGAAGAGTTAGTCTAAACTGTGAACTAAAATTGCAATGTGAGGCTTGTACCCATAAATTTCTGATTCAGGTTAAAGTGTCATCTGAAGGACAGCACCTCCAACAATGCAACACCCCCTCCAGCATTGCATTGGAGTGTCATCTTAGACTATGTGATTCCAAACTCCGACATGGAGGCTTGAGCCTTCTGACTCAGAGGTGAGAGTGCTGCCACTGAGCCAGGCTGACACACCATAACTGCTATAAATCTATATATTTAGTAGGGAAAAGTGTTCAACTAACCCTTACTCCTTAATAAAGATGGACTTATTCAGAAAATTGGCCACAATTATACAAAACTAATAATATATAATAATAAAAATTGCATTTGTTACAGAACATTTTCACGTCTTCTCGTCGTCTCAAAGCCCTTCACAGAATATACTGTAAAATGAATTGACTGTAGATTTGTGAGCGAATCATGGCAGCCAATTGCGCACAGCAGTGTCCCACAAACAGTCGTGGATTGAAGTGAACAATTTATTATTGGTTTTTTTCTTGAGGGATTATTATCAGGCGTGTGGAATAACGAAACCTGCCGAAGGTTTCGCCCTGCCAGGAATCGAACCCAGGTCTCTCGCTTGCCAGGTGAGTGCTCTAACCACTGAGCCACAGAACTCCAAGGAAAACTATTTCCAAAGTGCCTGTATTGGTCTATGGGTTAAAACTCAAGCGGCTGATTTATGTGTGTCCTCAATTCAATGTCATCCAAAGGTTTTGGCAAGTAACAGAGTAGAAGATTTGCCGGCCAAATATTTTCCTTCTCTTATACTTTGCAAATGTAAATGTGTTTTTCATCACAGCCTTTTAATGTTTTTTTTATTATTGCCAAATTATTATATTTCTAGAGCAGACAAACGCAGCACCATGAATATTGCTCCCATTAGTGTTAATAGTTACTTGTCCTATCTTCCTCTTCTAAATTTTCTGCTTTGTCTGGGTTAAGCAAATCTTAAATTTGTATTGCACCATTTCAGGGCAAAACATCTTGAAGAGCTGTACAATCATTTCTGTCAAACCTAATGTCTGGTTTGGAGTCAAGCACAGTATCTATTTGCACACATCATTGGACCCCACAAACATCTATGAGTGACCATTTTTTCTGGAGGATATTGACCAGGATTTACATAAATTTATACAGAATGTACAACATGGAAACAGGCTAGTCAATCCAACCTCAGCAAAACTCACATAAGTCATCTCAGTTGGGACCATAATATTTAATCTGACTTATGTGAAGTCTGAGTTGCAGGCAAACTGTAGAAGTTGTAGAAAATCCAATTCAATCAATAATCTACACTGCGAATGTTTAATTTAATGCAAATGATAAGTTCACATGTGGTAATTCATCATTGCAGCAGATAAGTGCAGATGCGGTGGTAGATTAAAAATACATTTCCTGCGATTCAATGCGATTCCTGTGATTCATCACTATATGTGCACTTACATTGGAAACATTGCAATGGTATTGAATCATTGGAAATGAAGTTCTTCTGTGCATGCGTCGACAGAGGAAGACGAGCTTTCCTCCAATTCAATGCAACCAGCCGGTAAGAGCAAATCATGAATGAGTCAGGACATCATTTCCCACGATTCAAGACCTCAGTTAAGCACGGGAGTAATGGAGGATAGGGGAGCGGAGTTACGAGTTAGGAGGTGAGTGATACAAGTAGCGTAAAGAAATATAAATGGTTTTGATAGGAAACTGAATGGGACTTGGGTGAATGTATGACTTAGGCATTTATACGATTTATAAAGATTAAACTCATGTGAGTTTCATTGTATTCCATACCAATGATTATACTCCACATGAATCTTCATGGATTCCTTACTCCCCCCGATATCCTTATGTTGGGCAGTCCAACCTTTTGGCTGCTGCAGGCCGATTCCCTATTTGAGAAAGGTCTTCAGGCCTCATTAAGCAATATTTTGTGTTCCCCTTCCAGAAACATAACATAACACGATTTACGCAGTGCCTTTTTTATGTTGGAAGGACATCTTAAGGCGCTTGACAATGCTGGCTGGGCACCTAAGCTGGGGGTGGGAGCCGAGCAAAATGGGATGGGGAAATGATGGCTGAAAGCGCGGTCAAAGAGTTAGGTCTTGACGTGCATTGAACGAGGGGAGGGAGGGAACAAGTCGGAGGGACTCCAGGAATGGAGCTCCAGAGAACAGTGGCAAAATGGCGACGGGAGCTCAGATGGGCTGGGGGGAACATAAAGCAAACTGGTGTTTGCTGGACGAAGGGAATGGCCAAGGCAGGTCGCAGGGATGGGTGGGGATGAAGGACGTAGAGAAGTTTTTCACTGGGGAAAGCCTCTTTTGTCTCTCTACATAACTGGTAACATTCTGGTAAATCTCTTGCACTCTCCCTAAGGCCCTGACGTGCTTCCTAAAGTGTGGTATCCAGAATTGGACCCCAAACTCCAACTGATGCCTAACCAGCTTTTTGTAAAGGTTTGTAAATATCGATTTGTAAACATCTATTTGGAACCTACCCCCTTCTGAGTGACTCCTCATAATGGTTTCTCAATGCTACACAAAGCGTCCAACTCGTCTCCCTAGGCACCCTAATGTACAGTCCACCTAACCCAGGAAATTTGTTAGTTTCAAGTCCCTTGAACCTATCCAGACTCTCAGCCTCACTTATGTTAAAGTCTTGGAGCTCAAATAATATCTGCTGAATGTTAAGGTCCATGTTAATAATGTTCTCTGGGATTTAAAAAAAAAACTCCAGGAAGAAATCATTTACCATGTTTGCTGTCTACTGTTCATTCTATTTTCAAACTCCCACAAATCCTTTAGGGTTTTAACATCTTCTCTGGATTCTGTGTTATTGTTGTAATATTGAAAGAATTTGGGGAGTTATATTTTGCAATTACTGCCGTATCCCTTTCCAGTTCTCTCTTGGCTCCACTTATCTGTGTTTTAACCTCTTTCAGTACAGACGTGTATTCAATCATTTCCTTTCTCCCTACAAGTTTTGTAAATCTTTGTTTTCTTTGTCATCTCTCTTTATTTTCCCATTGATCCATTTTGGTGTGTTTTTTTGTTTATTTTGCCCCACTGCACTTGAGAATATATGCGTCCTGCATATACTGCATAATGTTTTTTTAAGGATGTCCATTTTTCCTCAACTGATTGTTCATGAGTAATGCTTCGATGTCTCTTTGCTCAGACCTACCCCTAAAGTTTGCCCACCTAAAGTCGTACTCTAGAGTTTGGTTACTGCTTGTGCTGTTTTCCAAGTTAAGACAGGTTGTGAAGTGCATTGAAGGGGAACACACCCACAATTAGTTGATAATTAACTCATAAATTGGTTTCCTCTTTTTAATCATGTTTTAATTAGCACATCAAATATCACAATTCTCAAACTTTTTGTAGCACATTCAGTGATGTATTTACTGACTGAGTAATTAAAGAAGATACTGAATCATAACTAACAAGTTCTCAAATATTGCAAGGACACATCCAATTAGCCCCAAGTAAAAAAATTAATAATGTGTAAATATGTGTGTATGAGTCTATTGTAATAAGTGAGTGAGTGATTGTTTCTATATGTGAATGTGAGTGATGTGGAGGCCTGTTTGAATAATTGTGTGCTTAAGGTTTGGTTCTATTAAAGACAAAAATGTTTTTAAAGTTATTAGCAATATCAGTAGTTGCTTGGTGAGGTGCTGCAGAGGCTGTGCACAGCAGACATCTGCCCTTGCCTCAAGTCTCCTTTAAATCCTTTACTGAAACAGCTTGGAAAAAACTTTTCACTTCTCCCTATAACACCACTGATCTACAAGACCCACGAACAGAAAAAGTAAGGGAAGGAGTTAATGTCCTGGAGCTGTATAGAAAAAGATAAGCAAACAATAATTTACTCATTACTGTCTTCATTATTTATTGCTAAATCCAATGCACATTGCTGGAACCAATTTGGACTAGGATTAGAGACAGTAAATGGATGCAGATGTTGGCTGCCAGGTTTTATAAACATTTATTAAGTAGTACTGATGCATAAACCTGATGGCTCAGACCGAAACCCCAGATTTATAAACACTTTAATCCTTAATAAATTACATAATTTGTTACCTGTCTCACAGGGACCCGTGTGCTCGATGCTGAGGTTTCCGTTCCTCTCTGTGTAAAACGTTTCCTTAAATCGGCAGATATTGTTATATGTCTTTCCGTTTGTTCCGCATAGGCTACCCTGCGACCGGCATACACACTGGGGCTCGGGAATCTCTCCGAAGCCAACATCTTCCGTGTCCAGCAGGCAGTCTAGATCTTCTCCACACTTCCCGTAGAAGTGGTTGGTGTTGTCCAAGTCGCAGATCTGCCCCTCCACGTTAGCGCACTCAGTGCAACAGCCACATTCATCCAACACTGTGCCCGCCACACAGCCCGTTGGCAGCGGGCACAGGTGAGGCTGGCAAAGTCCGCAACCATCCCCTTCCTTCAGCAGCCTGAGCCAGCCTCTGTGGTAGAAGTGGGGCAGTGCCTGCATTACCTGCACCAGAAACAGGGCAAGCAGTGCAGCCGACAGTGGCAGCTTCATCTTTACATCCAAATCTGCAGAACCGAGGTCCAAAATATCTTGGGTCAGGGCCGAGCTCTAAAGGTTTTCATTCTTTCCCCAAAGTTAAAGTTGTTGAAAAGGATTATTACTCTCAAATAATGTTCTTAGCATCAATGCTGGCTGTCAACTAGTGCATTTAAAGGATCAGGAGTAAACCAGTGACAAACTGATGATGGAATCTCTGCAAACATTAGCTTTGCACCACATCCACTGCCATTCTGATACACACTTGATGGCTCCGTGTAATACTCTGCAACGAAACCCAGCCCAAGTTGGCAAAGAGCCACTGCTAACAGCCACAGGAGAACTGTAAGCGGGAGAGAGCTGTGATTGGAGACGGAGCTCAGAAGAGAGTCGACTATCTGTAGAAGTTTTCTCCGTTGCCGTTGGTTAAAGGGAAAGGCCAGCCGACTGCCTGCCTGCTGCCAACTCATTGCTTTTCCATTTCGAACCTCAGCAAACAGCACGCTGCAGAGAAGCAGCTCTGAATGCTGTTATTTTAAACCCACTGGTGAGATGCTTGTATTATTTCCTAAACTCTTTGACTTATAGGTAAGACATTTTTGTGCTTGGATTGTTAACAATGGGAATAAAGCCAGAGTGTACGCTTCAGGAACTGGACTGGAACCAAGCACTGCAGACATGATGTAACCAGTGGACTCTGACTGTTTGTATTTTATTTATAATAAAATAATAATCCTTTTTGATTCAGCGCTTTATCAAGTCTTCGAGATGTCTCAACACACTGCAAAGCGAAGTGACTGTATATTTTTGTGGGCAAAAGATTTATTTGCCTTGATTAAAGCTATTTAATGTTTATTTTCTCTCTTCTTTATATTTTTAATTGAGTTCTATTTTTATTGCTCTCTGAGTTTTCTCGGGAGCTCCCTGTACTTGAGGGAGGGCTTTAAAGGTGAGGACGAGGATTTTAAACTCGATCCTCTGGGGGGTTGGGAACCAGTGAAGCCAGGCGAGGAGAGAGGAATAGGCTCACACAGCTTAGTGTGGGCTCTTAAAATAATGATCTTTCCATTAAACTACAATAGCATGTGTCAGCCTGGCTCAGTTGGTAGCACTTTCACCTCTGAGTGGTTCAAGCCACAGCTCAGGACTTTAAACTAGGCTGACACTACAGTGGGGGGCGCGGGGGGAAGAGTACTACATTCATTCTTTAAATGAACATTAAACCAAAGTCCCATTTGTTCATTTAGATGGGTATTAGAGATCCTAAGGTACTATTATAAAAGAGAAAGGAATTTCTCCTGTGTCATCAATAATTCCTAAAATTAGTCACTCACTTCACTGTTTATGAGACATTGTTGAGTTGCATTGGCTGTCATGTTTACCTACAAATACACCGTCACTACACTTCACAGTAAAATGCTGTGAGGCACTTTGTGGCATCTCGATAACATCATGAGGCACTATATCAAATGCAACAATTATAACTTACGTTTACATGGTGACTCTGTCACAAACAGTAAATCTCCAAGTATTTTGTCGAGTCGGAGCCGGACACTGACTTAGGTGGTCGTGGGAGGAGGGTGGTCACCATAGTCACGGGTGAAAAGGTAGGTTTTGAAGATAGATGGAGTGGGGTTGAGATATAGGGATAAAGGGGGGTGGGGAGTGCCAAACAGTGGGGGTATAATAGCTGAAGACTGGCCATTGATGGTAGGTCGGAGAGAGCAGGAAAAACATAGCAAGTCAGTGTTTGTTGAACAAAGGGGATCAGCACAAGAGCAGAAGGTTCAGATGCAATATTAATCTGAGGACCTGTCAAGCATTGACAGGCATTACTTGTTGTCAAGGATAGCACCTTTAACAATACAGCACATTTCCCAAACTGTGCTGTGTGTTCAAAGTGCCAATGTGGGTTCAAAGCCACAACCTGCTGACTTACAGGTGAGGTTTGTTTAACACATTGATGCCTTTGAATCTACATTCAAAGGTATCGATGTGACTCTACATTCAAAGTGCAGAAAAAAGGAAAACTGAATGAGGCCTCTGTGAGTGAAGACAAGTAGTGATCCTTTACTCATAAATACAGCTGTACCAATTTCCAACATGGTTATCCACTGCAACAGGCACTGTGAGAAGCTGAAGTCTGGGATTTGCCTGGACAGTACAGGGTAAGGTATAACAGGATGGATAAAGTATTACTGACAAGAAGACTTGCATGGGCTGGTTTGTCCAGCAGCACTCACTGAATGTGTGAGCAGTCTAGAGATTGGTAACAATCAGGCTCGAAAAGGAATTTGCTTATTTCAGCATTGCAGCGAGCTTGAATTAATCTGTCAAATTACCTCAATATTTCATCCATCAAATTCCTGATCTAAACCTGGGTTTATCACGATCCAGTGAAAAGCAACCGTATTCATGGCATGACAGTCAGAGCAAGTACAGCCTGTAAAGATCAAAGAACAAAACTCAAACAGAAAACACATAAGTAGACCCCTAATGTGTAAAAAAAAATTATATAAAATTCCCATTAGGCAACAACTGACCATGTTCACTTGTTTGAGTCTTGCCTCACTGATTAGTCCTACGTCAACCCGACTCTTTCTGCTGCTTCTGCTTTTGGCTGTGTGATGATATTGGATGCAGTGACCAGAAGGAGCCTCCAAACATGAGTTGGATTCAATATTCTAAATAATAATTCATACATTTGTAATAGCTTTAATGTTGGGAGGATGTCTCACAGTACTTCACGGGATACACTGAACAGCTATATATACTGTTACTCTGTAACACAGACCCCTGTGGAACGCCATTCATTACACTACCCCATTATGAGAAAGTACAAAACGAAATAGCAAGATGTTCTATGGGTCTGTTAGCAATAGAAGAATGGAGAGATGGGACCATTAGGGGAGAAGTAGATAATAAGCAAATGACAAAAATACTAAATGAATATGTTGCCTCAGTTTTCACGAAAGAAACTGATAAGTAACAGAAAGGGAGGGTATGTTGCATTGTCAAGGGTACCATCCTTCAGATGTTAAACCAAGGTCCCATCCACCTGTTCAAGATATTAAAGATCCCATGGCACCATTCGAAAAGAGAAGGGAGTTTCTCCCAGGGTCCTGGCCAGCAATTCCCAAATAAAATTGGTCATGGCTGTTTCTGGAAAATTTCTGTGCATAAACTGGTTGCCACAATTCACCCGCAAAATACACTTATTATTATTAACAACAGTTAAGATAGGGAGAGGGAAATATTAAATAAATTACACAACCATAAAGAGGATAAGGCACCTAGCCCAGATATACTGCACCCAAGAATCCTAAGGGGACGTGGGGAGGAGATAGATGGGCTCTCGTACTATATATGTAAAAACTCTGTGTCCTGGCCAACAATCCCCCGATCATAAATTGGTTACACAACATGATCACTCACTTCATGGAAGTTGGTGAGACATTATTGGGTGCAAATTGTCTGCCACATTGGTTCACAAAACAGTCACATTACTTTTACAGTATATCATGTGAAATGTTTGCACACATCTCATTGATGTGATAGGGCTGTTTATCAAATGCAAACTCCCTCCTCATCGGCCTTCCCAACTCTTCCCTTCACAAGCTGCAGATTATCCCAATCTCTACAGCTCGTGTACTCTCGCGCACCAGGCTCCGTGACACCATCACTCCCACCCTCGCCCGACTCCACGAGCTCCCCATCCCCCAGAGGATCGAATTCAAGTCTTCGTCCTCACTTTCAAGGCCATCCATGACCTTGCCTCCTCCTACCTCTCTGAACTTCTGACTTCCTACCAACCTGCCCACTCCCTCCGTTCATCGGGCTCAAGCCTGCTCCATGTTTCCTGCCCAACCCGCCCTACCATCGGTGGTCGGGCTTTCAGCCTCTTTGCCCCCACACTCTGGAACTCCATCCCACAGTCCCTTCACCTCGCTTCCTCCCTCGCCTCCTTCAAAGGCCGGTGTCAAGACCCTTCTTTTCAATCGTGCCTTCAGTCGCTCTGTCACCTCTCTGCCTTCCCTCACCCCTACCCCTACCCCACCCCTCCCCCCTGACTGTCCACCACCTTGAGACGTCCTCCTGACGTGAAAGGCGCTCTATCAATATCATTTTGTTGTTGTACATATATATATACACACACAATATATGTATTATACCACAGCTGCTCAGATTATTTAAAATCATATCTAATCTATTTTTGCAGAAAAGTTGAAATACATTGTTGCTGTATTAGATTATAAATACACTCAATATACTTAATAGCAGTTACCTGTGAAGGACATTTGGATATTATAGATGTTATACTCAATGGAAGGATTACTGTATTATTTTTACTGTTATATTTCATAATTTTTCACTTGCAGTTCTACAGTTTTCCACCAAGGAGCAGTGTTGACCATTCTTTATAGTCGGAACATGATCCATTAAATTCTCACAAAATAAAACAGAAATGTAATCATAATGTGAACCAGGAACTCAAAAAAATTCACATATAATTACAGTCAAGGTTCCAGAAACAGCCATGGGGTAAACACATGTATCTGGATGATTCATTTACAGGGCACCAAGATATTAGTTAATCATAATAATATAATAATAATCCTTGCATTTGATATAGTGCCTTATCACTTCTTTGAAACGTTTCAAAGCGCTTCACAGAATATTGTAAAGTGTAGTAACTGTATATTGTGTGGACAAAACAAATTATTACTTAATGTTGTCTTGGATACAACCTTCACAACACCATCAACTTGAATATATATATATATATATTTTATAATGCCTTTCAGCGAGTTGTATCTCAAGCACTTTTATAAAAAAAATTCACAACAAAACTGAACTGTGAGATTAATGTCTCAATATCACTGATATCATCCAAGCTGTTCCCACCTCCCTCACTGCAGTATCGAGGGGTTTATCTGGAAGAGCTTATGTCTGCTGTCCTCTATTCCTTCTCTGCTTATCCCCTAAAGTCCTGAGTTATGCTATTGAGCTACCCTTCAATAACTGACCCAATCGACTACTTCTTACATATGTGCGATGGACAGTGAGCATTGGCAGAGCACAAACCCTTGTTGATTTTTATCATTTTAGCCTAAGGATTATTGAGCCCAGTTATAGCATCCCTAACCGAGATTATCTAACTCTGAACAGACCTGGGACAATAAGGGGGCCTTGCTCAGATTCATTCACCCGAGAAAACGTCAGACGGTTGATGGATTTAAACAATCCAAATGTGTATGCATATGTCTCAAGTCACCAGTTCTGGATATTCTTCAAAAGAATAACTTTGTCCAGCTGTTG